TTTATATTTGTTTATATTTTATATCATTTTTGGTCATTTGATCTGAAATATAAGTGATTCAGAAATAACATTTGATTCAATGTGAGTATTCATTTTTATTATTATGTTATTATTATGTTATTATTATGTTATTATTATGTTATTTATGTATTTTATTTTTATATACTTATATATTTTATTATATTTATATTTAATTTTATTCTTATATTATATATATCATCATGTTATCTATATATTTTATATTTATCATATTTTATTAGTTTGATATTCTTATTATTTATATTTTCTTTTATATATGAATATATTTTTATTTATATATAATTTCTTATATATGAATACATTTCTTTATCTTATTTTCATTTTGATTATATTTTTATATTTTATATCAATTTTCTCTTTATATTTATTATTATTTTATTTATATTATATTGATTTTATTTATCTTTTCATTTATATATTTTATTTATTATATCATTTCATTTCTCTTATTATTTCTTTATTATTTATTATTATTATTCATTTAATTTTTATATCTTCTATCTATATCATATGAATTTATTATTTATTATTTATTTTATCTTTTCTTATTATTCTTTTATTATTTTATGTTTATTATATTTTATTTTTTTATTTCTTTTTCTATCTTTTTTCTATTATTTTTATTTATTATATATATTTCTTTTTGAATTTATTCTGTTATTATTTATCTTTTTATTTATTTTATTCATTCGATTGTTTAATAAAAAATATATTCAATTTTATTCTTTGTTTATTATTATTATTATTTTTAATTATTTTTATTTATATATTAATTTGATTAATATTTGTATTATATCATTTTTATATTTATTATTATTTATATTTTGTATTATTATTTATTTATTATTATCATTTTTATTTTTATTTATCATTTTGTATTATATTATTCAATATTTCATGAATTTAATATTTATTATGAAATCATTTATTAATCATTTCATTTATAATGATATATTAATTAAATTATTTTGTTATATCACATTGATTATTCAATATTTAATGATAAAATTTAATGATATAAGATTAATATAATAGATATAAATAAAATGATGAATATTGAAACAATCATTTAAAATCAAAAATAAATAATAAAAAATAAGAATATAATATAAATAATAAAGAATAAAGAAAAGAAAGATAATAAAATAAATAAATAATAAATATAAATCAAATGATAATAATAAAAACAAATGATAAATAAATGATAAATAAATAAGAATAATCAAAATATAATAATAATAAAAATTAAAATTAAATCAAATCAAAATAATCAAAACAAGAAATGAAAATAAGAATCAAATGAAAATAAATAAAATAAAAATTAAGAAATAAAGAAATAAAGAAGAAGAATAATAAGAAAGAAAAGAAATATAAATAATATTAATAATAAATTAAAATAAAATAAGAAATGAAAATACAATAATAATAATAAATAATAAAAATATGAAAGAATAAAGATAATAATAATACAAAATGATAATATTAAAGAAATTATTAAAATATAAAATAAATATAAAAGAAAACAATAAAATATAAAATAAATTCATTTTAATATAAATCATTTAAATAATTAAATAATAAAATTATTTTATAATATTGAAATATTTCATAAATATAATAAAAATGAACAAATAAATAAATAGAGAAAAATAAGTAAAAGAATAATAAATAATAAAATAAAATAATCAATATATTAAAAAGAAA